AATGAAGTCTTTCAGGGGATGGTCACTGGTAGTACTGGATTTCACTATCCAGAGGGGCTTACTATTAGCTGTGATCTCAGAGACTTCAGGGTTCATTACCTTTCATAGGTCATTAAAGGCAATGAATAAAATCGGTCCAAGCAGGGAGAACTCTACTTGTGAATTTTCTTCATGGTAAAAAAAATCCATAGAACTCTGTCCTTTGTTTTCTGTGATCTAACTAGCTTTCAGTCCACAAAGAAATTTCTTCAGTCCCATGATGACTGTTTCTCTAATAACATTGCTGTGGAATGTTATTGGAAGGATTTTGGAAAACTTATGTATATTCATATCCCCTTTATTTACTTGCATGATGACAGCTTCATAGAATTAGAGAGAACTAGTCAGACGTGATTTCCCATTGAAGAAACTCTGCTGACTTCTGCAACAATCTTTATCTGTGTGCTGTTAGTCTTTATTTTACCATCTTGTCAGGGACAGCAATCAGCTTTCCCAGTCTACAGGTCCAGAGTCCCTTTTGTAAATGGCTTTTTCCAGATGACTGTTTCTAGCTTTCCACCAAAGAAAAGAACTATCTGTGGGTATCTTTATCTCAGGAGGAAAAAAAAAAAAAAAAAGATAGTTTTTTAGAATTTTCTGTGAACATGTTCAGAAGCCCTGGTTCCTGTTAGAGGTTGAGAGCTAAATGGAATCAATAACTTGGGTTTGAAAAGTTGTAGCTAAGCTGTGATTTTTATAAAAAGCATTACTTCGAGAAATGAAAATTTAACTAATAAAAAAATTATCTCTCCTGTGTTGTATACTTTGTTTAGAAGCCTGCTGATACCTTGTCCTCTTTCCATTTTTCATGAGAAGGGATCAGTCTTACCAATCAGGGATTACAGACACAGAGATCCATAAATGAGGGATGTCATGGTTTTGTAGTGATATAATACATGGCAGCTCATTTGTATAAGCACTCATTTTTATCACTACAATCTTGGAGCACCACATACTAAAAATAGCATTGAAGTGGTGAAAATGCTGTAATCATTGACATTTTTTAATTTCCTACATAGCTGAGCAAGAGGCTGGAGAGGTTTCAGCCAACACTTCATCCTCTGTTCTGTAAACCAATCAATTATTCGTCAATGACATTTTTGCATGTGGCATGTTGGTGACAATTTGGAAGTAGACTCTACATACTGAGCCACGGGTTTAAACTACATAGTTAAATTTTAGGAAATGTACATATTCTCAAAAATTACTTATCTAAGTAAATCACTTTTTCTGTCACATGCTAAATGAAACAGGGTATCTCTAAAATATTAGTAGAAAAGTTACAAATTTTAAGTTTATGCAAATTTTCAGAAAGAATTTTGACTATAAACCCTATTTATTAGTTGATACATTTTAAAATTTTATCTAGTTCTGCATTTTCTGGAGTTGTTTAGAGAATGTTATAATCACTTTTATTAAATAGGTGTCTTTGAAGTCTGATATAAACTACCACAGAATACTGAAGAATTACATTATGCACCATGTGAACAATTATACTGGATATTGCATATTAGTACTAGTGCAATTTTTTTCCAGCTAATGAAATACATCATGATATCTTAAACTGAAAAAGACCATTATGTTCTGTACAGGATATTAAAATGTTCATTGGTTGATTACTAGCAAGCCCAAATAATCAATTTCCTGTATTAATTAAGGCAAATTGTGTAAAGATTATTTTAATGATATATTCATGCAATTCACTGCTTAAAATTATTTAAAGAGAATTTAAGAGAAAATAAAAAAATAGCTAAGATGAACACAGATTTATGCTGAAATTGTATCTGCATTTGTAATTGTTCTGTTTCAAGTAAATTATTTTGCATATTGCACAGAAACTGTATGTCCTAGGGAGCACAGACTGCCTCTAGAGACAGAGTGCCCAAAAAGGAGACATAAAAGGAAGCTGGATAATGTGGAGAAAAGCAGTCCTGGCTCCATCTGCTGTCTATTTTTTTTCTCTCCTTTTTTTTTTTTTGTTTTTGTTGGCAGCTTCTTTCTTGGGGTATTTGGGTTATTTAGGCCCCCCTATATTTCTTTGAACACAGACATTTTTAAGCGTACTTCTGCTTTTGGCTGCTGACCCCAACTACTTTGTTTTGTATTTGAGTACCACAGATAGTTTTGTTCTATGTTGTTCTTACTGGACACAACTTGGATAAAACAAGAATGTACTTTTTTTTTCTTTTTTCGGTCGCCCTGGGATCAAGTTAATTTTGTGGCCTTTTCTTTTTTTTTATCTGTATTAGTAAATGCTGTAAGGAAGCCCAGGCACAGTTCTAGAACTGTTACTCATCCTTACACTCAAGTTCACTCGAGCTGCATCAGTGCACAACTGAAAAGTCTACTCCAAGTGCTGGCTTTTCATGTCAATTTTTCTCACAGTCCTTTGAAAAAGAAGGGACCAAAAAGCTTTAGTTGGACCAAAGCTGAAGACAAGAACCTGTGAGTCTGGAGTGTTACAGCTTTTTCATGTTCTTTTGTTGAATAGGTTTAACCTTTAAGATAATTTCTGAGGCTGCTCTAATTTGGACCAAACCCTCAGTTATTGAGACATTTTTTCTGCCCTAACTCTGTACTGTATAACTTGGCTTTCCTTCCATAATGGTTTTGTTCTTTTGGAGTCCTGATAAATGTAAATATTTTACTTGAAAACTGGGATTTACTGGGATGTTCAGTAGATTTCAACAATTTTGAAAAAATATTTTACAAATGGCAGAACTTTGCATTCACAAAAACCTCCCAATTGAAATTAGTCTAAATACTCAATTTTGGAAAATGGCTGCAAAGTAGAAAGAGCACTTTTGAGTCAATTCTAGAGTTCAGAAATTGTACTGAATTGCAATAAAACCATTTAAAATATTACTGAAAAGATGTACATCATTGCTGTTTTAAAACGTAGTTCTGTCTCAAGTACAGGACCCAATTAAAATTTCCAAATGGGAAATCTGACTCTAGATTGCAGAAATATTGAAAATACAATGCAGATCATAAATATGTAGGCAAGGATGCAAATAAGTCTTTAAAAATATTTATCTTTGCATTCTTAGATCTTAAAAATAGTACTGAAAACTCCAGTCGTGGCTAAACAGCAGAGAAGATTCCTGTGACTGGAATTCATAGAATTCAAACTTTATTACAGAGAGCCTTTCTAAAATCAATAACTAGAAAAAAATAATTGGTGAAATGTATAGGTATTTATATATATATATATATATATATTTATATATATTTATATAAATATATATATATTTATTTATATATATATTATTTTTTTTTTTTCAGATAAGTAAGAATATTTGTTCACCAGAATACAGAAATTTCAAATATAATAGCAGCTTAGTAATGCTACATGTTCAACACACTAGAAAGTACTAGTATCCATGATTCCTGATGTTTTTGTGACATGCAAGGTCATGTCAACCATTTCTAGGGTAAGTCTGGTCCCAGCTTAGATATCAGAATAAAAAAAAAATATATTTGAGTAATCCTAACACTTATGAAGATAAGAAAGTTAAAAAACCCCAAAACAAAAAGCAAACCAAACCAGAAACAGAACTGAGATCTTTGATAAATGCCAACATTAACATAAAAAGTGAGTTACTTTGCTACAGCTTACTGAAGCATATGCTTCTGGGTTTTTTCAGCCTAGAAACTAATAATTAGATATTCTTAAAACAACTTCCCTTATCAGCAGTAATTAAGATACGAGACAAGTAAGATCTCTTTTAAGGAAGTGGTTATTTGCTGAAAAACATACATTTGGTTGTTCCCAAACTGCTTGTGAATATCAGTTCAAGTGTTTCCAGCTGTAATGGAGGAGTTGGAGTGATACAGCTGTGGAATCATCAGCTGCCTTTTACTCAACAGGTCTGCAATTAAGGAGTCCCTTTTGTTGAAGTTGTTCCATAGGGACTGCTGAATGCTTCAGCAGACATAGTTCTTGAACTAGATAATTTCAAGGAAAAGGAAAATAGCTTAAAAACTTAAATTTCATTCAGTTCAAAGTACTCCTCTCCAATCCCAACCACTTACTAAAAAAAGAGTCAGTGCTAGAGTTCAAGGTTTTATTTTGTTAAATAATATAAACCATTATTATTATACTAAAAAATAGCATCTCGTGCCAATTTTTATGTAAGCAGCCCCACACATAAATTTAATTATAGTTCGTTTTTATCTGTATTTTTATAGTCTGGTCTTGTTGCTTTCAATGTTATTCTTATGTTAGTGTTCTCCCTCATCAGATTCTTCCCCGTAAGAATTGGTCAAGTCATGTTGGTCATAACTTCCAGGTTAAGGTAATTTAAAACACTGAGACAGTCTTCAAGGATGTGTTGTATCATGCTTAGTTTATTTATTCCCCAAAGTATCTCTGCAAAAATTAGAATTAAAAGCATAGTATTATAAATAAAGATTAAGAAAGGGTGAGTGGTTCAGTTGCTCATTTTGAGAACATGTTCTCTGGCGTCTTTGTTTTTTAAATTGATATTAGGGGTTTTTACCTCATAGACTCAATTCAATTTATTGGTTTATTGGATCTTTTCCCCTGGACATATTCCATTTCTTTCTGCTGGAGCTGTTCTGTTGAGGCTGAGGTTGTTTCTGACAGTGTTTTGAAAGCATATTATGTGTCTTTTTTCAGTTTATACTTCAGCTGCCCTGCATATTAAGGTTATCTTTCAGCATACCACTTCAGCAATATATACCAGTTGTATAATAACATACACTTTGCAATCTACTTCGTTGCAATAAAACCATTTAAAATATTACTGAGTGAAAAGCATAACTAGAAATTCACGTGAACAAAATTCACCTCTGTATTCAAAATACTGTATCTTTTTAAATACTTCTCTTGAAATGTATTGAAAATGCTACAACATACAGAAAAACATAAGCATAAAACATTCATGCTGTTCTCTGTGGTTGCAGTTCAGTCACTTTGCTCCTTTGCTCTGTTTCAGACGGTTCGCCATGGTTTTCCTTACCTACCCACTGCCTTAGCTTTTGACCCAGTTCAGAAAATTCTGGCAATTGGAACAAGAACAGGAGCCATACGAATGTATCCTTTCTCATGCAGAATTTGCACCATTTCTATGTATTTGTAATACAGGGATGGGAATTCCACAAGTGCTCAGGTAAGGCTACAGTTGTTATGTTCTATTTCATTTTGCTTTATGAGACAGACTGGAAAAGGATGTGCTGTTGAGGAATTAACCAGGTCCTTAAGGGGTTCAAAGAACAGTTTCTGACTGAGTTTTTAGCATATGGTTTTGGCATATATTGGTTAAAATAAAACAGAATTGATCTTTTTCGGCATGAAAAGTACAACTGGACAAAGTTGGTAATGAGCAAGTTGTGAATGTTGTGCTAGCAATAAATAAATTAATTGCTGCAATGCAGTTAGCCAATGTTAGATTACAGTTAGATGCAATTTATTTAGACTCTTCCAAGTGAATGGTGGGAAATAAGTGATTTTAGAACAGAATTAATCTCTTCCTGGAGGAGAAGGTGAAGCACTGTTAAAGTGCCTATTTCTTTTTGTTAATTATAAAGGTACTTCAGTGCCAGAAACTTATATGTTGTTTTTAATACAATGGGATTTTTAAGTTAGAAGTCTATATAGGATGAATTTAATTAACAGATAATTAAAAATTTGAGACTTAAAGAAAAAATTAAGAATATTTAAATATGGTGTATTTCAGAATGTTTCTCTACATAATTTTATTAGTTTGGCATGGTTCCAATGTTTCTACTTCAATGAAAATACATATAAAGCAAAGAAAAAACAGAGTAAGACTATTACAGGAAGGTTTAAAAGTTACAGAATACAGAATTAATAAACCAATGTTTCTTACAAACTTTTTTATAGCCAAATAAATTATGTGTTTAAAGTAGGGGACAATGCTGTATGAAATAGTAATATAATATTTTCTAGTTCTTCTGCTATCCCTGTTCCCAAGGTAACTATAAATGTTATGAACATTACAAGTTACAAAACAAAGAAAAATCCCCTTGTGGAAAAGAAGCCTGTGCCTCATGTAATGTTACTAAAACTTTGGTTCCTCCTGTTTTGGATGCTCTTGGTCTGAACAGCTGCATTTCTGTAAGCCTCAGTTTCTCTCTGATCCAGAATTTCTCACAAGGCTCAAAACCTCAAGTTATGTGACAAGCTTTGCTTTGATAGTTCTACTCTTTATTTCTTACCTGTGTGAAGTAGATTGAATATATTATGTTCAAATGCAAAGAAGAAAGTGTCCATGAATTTGTGCACTTCTGGGAAGTGCAAGTCTAGTAGTCATGGTTTCTTCTTCTTCTTCTTAGAGATATGCAAGGTTAAAAATCTGGGGCTTTGTTGCTGGAAATGTCACCAATATCTTCAGAGTGAGGGTATTGGGAATTCCATGGTAGAAGTAGGAAGAAGACCTTGCAGAAGATTAACTCCTTAGCCCGCCTCTTCCTTCCATCTCAGCAATGTGGCTTTTCTAGGAGCAGTGCTGTCACTGGCTAGGCATTCTGCATCTCTACAAACCCCTCCTTTGATGAAAATTCAGGTGCAGAGCCTGATTAATACTGGTTCATGTAGAATTAATTTAAGCCTGTATGTCTCCTGCCACAGGAACAGAACATGAAGTGGAAAAATAGCTATATCCCTAAGCTTATATAAAATTCTCTATATGTTTTCTATAAAAATAGATTATATAGAATTAGCAGAAGGGAAAAGAATGTTTTTCAAAGTGCCCTTCCTTTTAACATCTCTTCCCCTGTTTGCTAGCGAACTCCTACCTCATTCACAGAGAAATTTCTACCAGTTCTAGTATCTTAACCTGTCTTAATCAAACAAGAGCATCAGGATTACAGGGCATTTGATTTTTTTTTGGAAGATATGTCATAACATAAATGCTTCTAGCTTAGTCACAGAGAGCCTGGTTTGCTTAATTGAGCCCTGAGTTAATGGAAACTGTGCTTTGAAGACAGAGGGTGCCATAAAAAGAATTACTTATTTACTCATTTTAACTGAGGTTTCTCCATTTCACTCTAAGTTTTGCAGAACATATTACATAAAAAACCTACTTGTGGGCTAATAAATTTGCAGTGAAGCAGTCTCTAAGACTACCCCCAGAACACCACTTATTTAAGCCAGTCTTGTTGCAGATGTGTGTAGTTTTTCAAGTCAGGCAATAAAGTTCAAGTCAAGATTGAACAGATTAAGTCTTAACCTGAAACTACAATTCGTAATGTGGCTTTGTTTTTATTCTAGCAGACTAAGGAAAATATAGGTTTTAGTGGCTCTAAGTTTTGTACAGTATCCTGTAAAAATGCTTTTTAAAAGAACTGCACAATTTCATTCTGTCATGAGTAACCTAAGAAAAAAGGAATTCTTCCCATACATACACTGTATTTAGCTGGTGTTTCTAAACAGTACTTTTGATGGAGTGGGAGGACAGACTGCTTGGCTACCATCAGAGAAATTCACCCAAGTATTTATTTGTTTGTTTACTGGTAGTGCCAAAGGTACCTGGTTTGATTTGGACTCTGTTGTTTAGAGAACACAAAAAGATGGGAAGACTGAATTTATGTTTAATATTCATGTAGTGATGTAGAACAAGTTTTCCTTTGATGATTCCAAGTCACATAATGGTATTGTTGCTTCCTTGACTTTGTAAAAGATTCACAAGGTATTGGTATTTCTACTGATCACAAGTTAACAGGTCTCAAAAGACAAGCTGTTTTTTAAGAAAAGGAAGCACGTCCTTCTGTGTTGTGAATTAATGTCTAACATCAAGCCTTCAGGTGATCATTTCGAGTGATCCAGCAGCAGTACTGAAGTTGACTATGTTAAATTGTCCTGAAATAGAGCATATTATTCATAAGCTGCCATTAGAATGCAGAGATAAATTAAAGTTCATTTTGGTATGGCAGTCAATTTGTCTTCTCCTAGGTTTCTTTTCAGGGTGCTTAGAGGCAACTGCTCTAGCTTCTGTAGCACTGGGAATTGCTGTTGCTATGCTCTACTGATCCTAGAAGTCTCTATGGGTTTGCCAAGGAAGTACAAACAACTGCAGGCATTACCTGCAGTGATGACTGCTGGGTACTGGATCCTCATAAGTGCAGCCCATGGAATCAGAATGCACTGCAAACCATCGATGAAGGAGCATCTTCCTATTACCAACAACACAAGCTAACAAAGTCTGCAAATAAAGGGCCAAAACCCCACTCCTGAAATGGTTGCTCTGGCATCTGGTAATTTACCTTTGTCCTAAACATAACAAATTCATTTTTCCTTTGAGGTCTTTTCTTCCTGTCAGAAGCTTGTTCCTAGCTCTCATAGTTGTGATCAGTGATAAGATCATTGCTTGATACCACTCTAAGTGGAATATTCTTGCTTCAGGAAAACACATTCAGTTGAAGAGGGGCTATGGAATTGAATTCCTTTTCTTATTGTCTCCGTATCCATCTTCTCTAGTCCCAGTCTGAAGAACCTCCTGACACTACACACAATAAAACCAAGTGTGCAGTCTCTGGATGCTGTCAGAGAATGTTCTTTATCACCGTACAAGGAGGTGAGAAATGAAGACACTTGGTCAGACTTGAGTTTCTTCTTGGTTTCAAAGGAGAAGTTTGGGGTTTTTCATATTCTCAGATTGAATAAGTAGATTAAAATCAGTATTGTTAACAGTGATTATTCCAGTAACAGATCTGAAGAAGTGGCATGCTGTGTTCAGATTTCAGGATGCATATTTCTGTATTTTCATTTATTCAGCTGACAAATGCTTCTTAAAATTCATTTAAAGTACTTTCTGGAGTCACTTAGTTCTTTGGAGTTTTTTTAATTGCATCAGAGCTGTGCTTAGTCGTTACAGCTCTCTACTTACAAGAATATAGAATACAGCGTCTACTTTATTTTTTATAATCAAACTGCTGATTATGTAGTGGTCAATTGCAGTGAGAAATTGTGAAAGAAACTTTTCTCTAGCTGTTACCATCTTTGTTTATCATGAAATGAGAGGAAGTTTGTCTTAAATCCAGTGCAAAGAAAACAATCTACTGGGTCCAGAATGGCCTCCACACCACTGACAAAAATCACCATCAAACAGGCTTAAATTAGTAATATGTTTGTGTATGTATTATAGTGTGGTCTGCTGCTGTTATTAATACTTATTTTTTAGACTTACAGGCTCCCTATTGTCATAGATGCAGGTTGTGGGGCATCACTTTCAGTTTTAGTTGCTTGAGCAAATCTGGAAGGCATCTGCAATTCATGCAAGGCTTTTCCAGTAGGCATAGCTGCTTGTTATCCATGTTATCAGAAAATACAGTGGCCATTTTATACCTAGGCAAACAAAACATTATTCTGAGTCGCTAACACATGACAGTGGAAGCATTGCTCTATCCCCACCTTTAGCTTAGCTCCACAGTCCTGACTCTTCCTTTGCTCCAATCCTGCTGCTTGTCAGATATATTACTGTGAGCCATCCAACGCACTAACCTGGCAAAACACCAGTTCTTCTGCTGTGCTACTTTTTTTGCCAGATTAGCAAACTGTTTTATCTGGTGTTTACCTCCAGTGTAAGTCAGAATGATGCATAAAGTGGAAGGAGTGCAGTTGGGACTGGATAGAGAAGAAAATGGGGGAGTAACAAAATTTTGGCACAAAGAATCAGGTTATTAAATTGACATGTCTTAGTGTATGAAATTGCATCTGATAAATTCAGGTATGGCAGATTGTAGCTGTCTATGAAATTTGCTACAAAATGTAGAAATAGCCTTTCAATTTTGAGTGGTATAGAAGAGAACATCTTTTACTTACATTTAAAAAATCTTCATGTAAAGCTGCTTGCAAATCACAAAAATTCTACAGGTTCTTCTCAAGGGAGATTCTGCTTTAGGATCCTATTTGGAATAACTTTTTCTGGCCTTTTTTATGTATTTTTTCCAACGCTTTAATAGGAGGAGTGATTTTTGAATGTCAAATAAGGTACAGCAACACATATTTTAACAGGTCTGTTTTGTGGAGAAACAAACATGGCTTCAAAATGGCCAATGGCATCCTGGCCAGTG